GCGTGGAATGCGTTTCTTGAAGAAAAATTATATTTGCATTTTGTTTTCTACACCATGCAAATAATGAACGTCGTTTGTTTAAGTTACGCGAGCCTCTTACATTCAAAGATAACATTATGAAATCACAAGAACTAATCGTAATTCGTCCTCAGTTATAATCTGAAGGGTGAGCAGTCTGTGCAAGGCTGCTAACAATTGATATAACAGATGTAAAGGTTAAGAAGGATCTGCAACTTTTAATAATCAATAGCTTCTTCAGTTGGTGATCATTTCCTATATTCTCGCGACCTTAATGTGTGATTCAGGGGTGATATTGTAAGGAGAAATTAAATGTTAGTCAGTCTTACAGGGTCGAATGGTTAAATAAAAACGAAAGGTACTTAAGGTACTCGTTACCAGGTTTGTGAAGGTGTCTTTGTGATGTGACTTCTAAATTTTCAACCCAACCAGCTGTGATGCAGCTCATTGACTCTGATTTTTGTGCAAGTTTTAAAGAACAGTAAATCATCCTTTCGGAGACATTTTCAGGACCCATGTAAATAGAGGTTAGTTGGTTAAAATATGCCCGAGTCGATATTCCAAGCACCCAGTTGAAGTGTCCAAAACCAAGAACCTTCATTAAGCAGCGAACTCTGACAAGCTTCAAGCCGACCGATTTTTAATAGAAATTAGAAGCTAGAGTTATGCGAAATTTAAGCTAAATTCAGCTTATGGTCAAAAGTTTTGGAAAAAAAATTTAGCGCATTTCAACAACACCAAATGGGCATGTATTCATTTATAAGCCGAGCTAAGCCGAGAGTGCGCCTTAACAAAAGTCTGAATTGCATTGGCATCTCATCCATGTTAAAAATCTAAGACAAAAAGTAGTCCTGTTGTTGTCCTTTCCCCAAATGATTTTTAAAAACAAGCAATCAAAACAAAACTACAAGTGCATCGAGTAAATGTTGCAAACCGGAACGACAAGTTATACCTCTACACAATACTGCGGTATCATTTTGAGTGTACACTTAATCTTTAGTCACATATTGATTAGTTAAGGTGACCCTTTAAGGGAAATTAAAAGAGTACTTTTGGACCCAGAAAATGTTTTCTTGTCCCCGAGTAAGGTCTGGGTACGAGACTAGGTGTTCCTCTAAATGGAAGTGTCCTCGTCGGTTGAGTAGCAAATACAAACATTTCACGAACATTGTCCCGGGGCCAAAACTTTTGTTCCCTGAATGAAGGGATTTCCTGATCTATGGTGCCCCTTCCATGTTAGAATCGTAAATGAAATGGCAAATGATTTTGAAGGATGAAGACCAACTCTCTTGCACCCTTCAAAGATGACTACAATTTATAATTCACCCAGTTTTGTTTGTGAAAGATTCTTAGGTGTTTTATCCCTCTAGGGCGGTTGGACTGCTACACATTCTCTTATCCAACACGGAGGCATCCATTTACTTACTTAATATAAATAGCCCATTTGGAATTTGTGCTTGGTTGCCAGGCCATTGAACAGGAGTGAGGCTAAGGGTGACCTTGTTATGATACCAACTGCTTTTCAAATGTATATTACTTTGTTATCATGCTAACTAGATACTGGTCTCTATCACACCAAGGTCACCTTCAGCCTCAATCAAAGGCTTGGCAACTACGTACACGACTGTAAAATGACCTATTGGACATTTTTCCGGGACCGAATTCGAAGTTGTGCCCCCCACAGGTGTTCCAAACAACAGGTTCAACGGTATTGAACGCGAATAATTTGCACAGTTTTAGCTTTCCTGTGAATGACCTTTATTCAGCATAAATTAGAATTTTTTAAAAACTACATTGCACCTTGTCTTGACGGCTACGAAAGCATTTTACGATAGCCTTCACGATCAAGGACTGGGACAGGGATTCATCATCAAGGCAATATTTGTTGTCACTTTTGTCCTTCTTGTTGCTTGGTAAAAAAATATCTTATTTATTATTCCATCTATTACTCGTTTTTTTTATTGTTTGTATAGCACTACCTAACATGGTCTTTAAAATCTCTCTCTTACTTTAAATCTTAAAAGAAGCATGGCTTCATCATGACGTACTATTATACAACAACGCGTGACAAGGCCTTACACTAGTGCAACACATTGCATTTAATAGCATCGCTAACCCCTAAGCTAAACTAACTCGAATCCACGTCACTGTGAGAAGCCATTGGAAACAGTATTATCATCTTCCTGAGCGACGTATTGAATTGAATCAGGTCTTTTCAAAACCTGCCGAAAACAAAATTCAAACAAATTGCAATTTCACAGGTACTCGTTTTCCTACGTATTTTCTAATAAATATCGTCGTTCATTCACAAATCGCGCATGTTAAAGTAAGCGTATCCTAAACGTAATGCGCATGTGCGAACGTTGTAATGGCTCGGCGTGACGCTCTGCGCATGTTTTCAGGCTGCTATAACCAGATTGCCTCTAAAGAGTTAACTAATCACACACGCTAATTAGTCGATGCGTTTTACATGAGTCTACCTTTTTTTTTCCGAAGCTCAATCCAAAATGTTACACGAACAGAAACAATTTATCTGTCGTTCGTGTCAAAAGCTTGTGAAGGTGCAACAATTCACGCCGATCTATGCCGTGCCAGTAGAATGTACGTCACCAAATTTTTAGGGAAGTAATCTCACCGATTTAAGGCTAGTGTTAATAGCTTATGACAAAAAAAATGTATATATGACGATCGTTTAATCCCAGAAATTTCTTCCATTAAATCTTGAAAAAATAGTCCACTTCTAGTAAATGAAATATTAAAACACCATTTCATACCTTGATGAAATCCAAGAAGGTGAATCCAAGCGCAAAATAAACCTAATATAATAGATCACAAAGCCATTATCGTTATCGTTATTTTTCTTCAGGTTCTGTCCATTCGCATCCGTATTAAACTTGAAAACAAACTTTCCTTTCCCTCAACAAAAAGAAAAAAAGAATTTCGCGTTCTGCTGTTGCGCACTATAATTCTTTCCTGCCATCCACACGAAATTTCAAACGAGGACTCGTCACTTATGAAGTACCTTCTACTCTACTTCATCCGTCCAAATGGACACAGCAAATTGAGCGACGGGGGGGAGGGAGGGGGGGAGGGGAATCTTCCCTTTGGAGGGAGTGGTTGAGTAGGTACACCAAAAAACCTTCCCTATGGAGACTGTTGTTGAGTAGGTAGCCCATATTCTATCGGTGACTGTTTTTACCAGATAAGTGTGGTCGGAAGGCCAAATTGCAGTCAATATGCCACCCCACAACTCCTTCGCAGCCGATGTTTGGTCTCGTCAAGCAATGCACACTCTCCCCCACCAACGGGTAATCGGCAGGTCGGAAATTATGGTACCCGATAACATACGAGCTGTGACTGGACAAGTAGTCTTGCCGCGATTGGCTCAGAAAAATACGAGCTCCGCTCTGATTGGATACACTTACGGAAAGGAATGTGCTTCCGATTGAAGCAGACGTTGGCAAGGTGGAGAGCGCATCACATGAAGAGACCAGACAAAGGTTGCGAAGGAAACTGAAATTGATTAGGATAAATAGGAAATTGAAACCTCAGTCTGGAACCAGGGCATAGAAATCTAAAGACAGGTTACTTACCAATAATAAAAGAAAAGCAACGTAGAAAAGAAGGTACAATCCAACTAGAAAATAGTAGCCTCCGTTGCGCGGTATTTCGGACTGAAAGACAACAGATGAAATGACAACAGAGAAGCATTAGTGCGACGGACATTCCACAACCAAAAATCTGGAACAGGAGTTCATTAAATATTTACACTCTCATATTCTTAAAAACAATGCCCGACTAAACCTTCAGCAAGAACAGGGCTCCAAGCGTACATGTTTCATATTTGCTATCTGGTGATCTTAATTTATGTAATGATCGTTAGAAATAACTTCTAGACACCAGCAAAAAAAGCAGTGAAATTAAAGAAAAAAAAACAAAAACAAGTAAAAAGAGGAAAAAGATCATATCCAGCAAATGTCGGATCAATATCAGTATCTGGGCAACTGCCCACCTACCCCTCCCCTAACCCAACATTAACCTTGAGTTGTTGTCAATTGACTGTTGTTGAGTTAAGGGAAGGGTAGGTGGGCAGTTGCCCAGATACTGATATTGATCCCAAATTTTTTACTCACTTTAACCCTAGAGCCCCTGAAGATGATTAGCATCTAATTTCTCAATAAATAGCAATGCTGTATCAAACATTAGGCTTATGAGAAATTAAGGAAATGATCGCAAACTTGAAAAGTTCTTGATTTGTAACAAAATTCTCCTTTTTTTTTACTACTAAGATGATCGCGACCCAAAGCGCGGAAAAGACAAGTAAGAGATGGGTAAGACGCTGGAGTAAATACATAAACACGGATAAATGTTCACCATTGAGAGCGCTATTTGATATAATTTTTGTAGAAAAAAATTAAGGTTGCAAAAGGTTATTTAGTGCATAAAATTCGCGATAAGCGGACTTCTCATACGTTCGCCCAGAAGTAGATTACGCAAGTCATTAATGTAAAGCATAACATTGTAGACAAGGGTCAAAACAAAACTCACCACATATTCCACGACAAAAAACATGTTAATTCCTATAACTACAACAGACAAAAACCAAGCTGCACCTTGCATCACCCTAGGAAAGAAAACAACAGGACGACAATTAAATGGATCTCAATCAAACATAAGAAGAGTAAAAAAGAAATACAGCCCAAACGGTACTGAACGATAAAAGTTAATTAAGTGCTTATCACGCACATATTCGTTTAATGGCCTGTTCTCGGTACTCAGCTCGTTTGTTTGGGGCGAACGAGAGAAAGAGTGACGCATTTTCGCTTGCTATCCTTTTTCTTGATTGCTTCCACTTACCAGAAGGAATAAAAGAAGGACTGGCTGTCATTGCTCTCATTTAAAACGTCGGTACGAGTTGGGGCGTCAGCATTAACCCAATTTTTTCAAAATTTAAATTACCATAATTTTGTCTGCAACAACACTTGGACGTTGAAGGATAAACACACAAAGGACTAACTGCTCACACATTTTCCCTTTCATTTCTTAAGAGAACTTAGAGTTTAATCAAAGAAACACCCTCCAGATGATAGGCTTGTCTCTTATCAAACCCTGCAGGATTTTTTACAAGGCGGGATTGGTACAATATGGAATATAACCAGGGTATAAAAACGATACGGATCAATATCAGTATCTGGGCAACTGCCCACCTACCCGCCCCTAACCCAACATTAACCCTAACTTGTTATCAATTGACTCTTGTTGAATTAGGGGAGGGGTAGGTGGGCAGTTGCCCAGATACTGATATTGATCCAACGAGGATATACTGATATTGGTCCAACGAGAATATACTGATATTGATCCAACGAGGATATACTGATATTGATCCAACGATAGACAAAGACAGCTTAGCTTACCTTCCATTCTTAAAAGATCCCATGATGGCTCTGTCTCCCGTGAAATGCAACACAGGAATCAAAGCAAAAGGGAGCTAGTAAAGATAAGAAAAAAGTCTTCAGCTTAAGTGACAAAAAATTCTTGAGCGTCATTGGCAGTAGTTGGAAGCATTTTTGACTCCGATCGGAGCTTTTATTGTTACATTAACAGCTGCCTGTTAAGCGATTTTCTCATCAGAAAGCTGGCAATGTACACAGCTCACTAGTACCTAGATGTTTAACTCGGGGTTTTTTCTCCAAATCAAAAAAAAGTCGCTACCGGAACCACGTCACAGTTCAACCCTTTTGCTGCCAAGATCTCACTAGAAATTCTCCTTACTGTCTGCCCTAGAACTATTACGATTTGAGTTCGGAGACTTTTATATTAGAAAAACTAATAATTGATATTCGTCTTTATTCTCATCACTTGTTTACTTGATATTTATTGATGTTGTAAGGAGAAATTCTGACTTGGTCATGGTTTTTTTGGCCTAGGTATTTCACTTGTGATCTCTGTAGTTCTTTTCCATCCCTAGCCAACCTCGACGTGGATTTTATACCCTGACAAAGCATCAATTTGAAGGTTTCCCTCAAGGTAAGATTATTGATATTGCAAAAGGGGCTCGAAACTATACCGGCGACAATTTACCTGTAAACTCTGTAGTACATTAAGGAAATCGTTCATTCCTGTCAAATCCTGGACTCCTTCGTAGAAAGCCACAAAAAGGGTTGGAGCAATGGCGATTGATCTGGTAAACAGCACTCGCTTCCATCTTGCCCAAGAGATCTTTAAGAAGCCCTGCAGTGCATAAATCAAATCAAGAGATTGTCTCTTATCAAAGAAATATCAACAATCGTTGAGGAGTGGACAAGCGCAAATTATTCCATGAGAATAACGGATAATCAAATTCGCTAAATCGCTTCATACCTCCATAGCAAACTGGCCTGAGTAGGTTCCCTAGGAAGACAAACAAAAATGATGCTATTAGCTTTAAGCAGCAGAAAGCGAGAGCAAATTCAACCCAACAGGCTTTGGGAGAATTGTATCGAAAGTTATCCAAGGAATTGTTTGGTTTTGCTTTACTTCGTCATGTGATTGGTTAGGAAAACTAGCGCCAACCTCACAACCAATCAGATTCAACACCATGATCAACTCCGACAGGATCATTCGCGTTTACTCGCGCTTCAAGCAGTTTACTACTTTATACTTTTACTCTGCTAACTCATTGGCTCCTTGAGATATTTTCCTTTCCACTGATTGGTTGTTTGATTACCTTGGTTTTGAAGCTCAGTTTCCTTGAATATGATCTATATTTTTTTAAGATCACAAGAACGATTGACCACATTAACAGTAACCATTACGAGTGCTTACTCTAACGCTCAAGAAACACGATGGACACTTTCACCTTTCCTTTGTGCGTCACGTAGTGCATAAAGCCTCAGAAAAAAAGCAACCGTGTTTCATTTTTTTAAGAAGCCAACACTTACGGTCATAGTAGAGCTTTGACCCGCTGCTAGGATTCCTATGCCCCAAATATACAACGCTGCTTTTCCAAACTTGCATCCGAGGAAGACACCCTGAAAAGATAGATGGATAAGACTTTAAAACGATGGCTACTGCACTGCAATAATTAGCGACTACACACCGAAGTGGAGGTGGCTAGTGAGGATATTAACCGGGCCACAAAGCGTCCAGGTAAATATCCACCGCTAGCTACCAAAACTGAGGTGAATAGTTGTTCTAGAAAATAATAAATCAGGGAGACAATGTAGCACCAAAAGATGATATTAACTCATTTATTCCTGCAACGATTACAATATTTTCGGCCGCGAATCCCGCCCGCGTAGCTCGGAGGTAAATAGCAAAGAATATTCGGAGTTTGAGCAGCCAATCAGAGTACACCTTCAACGCTACCCACTGTTTTAACATAAACTAATCGATAAAACTGTCTCAACCAATGTCTTAACTATCAAAACACAAACAGTTCTTACCCCTTTGTAAAGGTCTCCGTCGATGGTGGAATTCCAAGTAATCTATACATAGAGAAATGAGTATTCGATATTCTCTGCTTTTTTACGTTATATATGACAAATCAATCAAGAAACACTTTCACACAAACCTTACCAGATGTTTGTATTTGAAAGATTAACGAAATCGCATTGTTCTAAGATTCTTACATGAGGATCACTGCTCTTGTTCACATTAAAGATTTCAGCTTGGCTTATCTTGTTTCCAATGCATTTATGATACTGAAAAGAAAGGGATTGTCGGGGTTTTCATTAAGAAATGTAGTAACACGAGATTATTGATAGTAAAAGGAAGTACTCTCAATCCTTGAATGAAGAATACATGACACCTGTTGACAGAAGTATCGTACCTCTTCAAACAAAGACTTTGCAATGCAGCAGTATTGTAACTGTTTGATTCTGTACCATATTCTTTCAAGTAGTGTTATAGTACCTGTTTGACCCTAAGAGTGTCTAGCACCTAATTTCTCCTTACAATATCACTCCTGAATCACACACTATGGTCATGAGAATAAAGGAAATGATCACCAACTCAAAGAAGCTCTTGATTGTACAACAAATTCTCCTTGTCAGCACCTCAGGAAATGTATAGACAACAGTATGGAGAAAATAGATACTGATGCTGAGGCGTGAAGGACTAAACTGTTAATGTACTACTGCAGTTATGTCCTTTTTGTCATAAGCTGGAATGGAAACGAACTAAAAATAATTACAGACTCACCACTTGCCCATATGTAGTATTATAAAATGCCTAAAAATAATAATTATAAAAAAAACACAGTGAGAATGACAACTTCGATCCATAGCCTATTCTGGATGTTCGGTTAGCTGAACGAAGCGTGTTATTAAAACAGCGTGATAGAAGCAGAGGAATGAAAAAGCATCGGAGGTTAGGCTTCAGGCCTTTCCAACCAAACTCAGACAGTAAGAATTTTATGATAAACCCCAGCTCTTTCCCTTTCTACCTATCTTCTTACGCTTTGCATTTCTTTTGCTTGTGCAAAGCTGTCGTTTTGTCCCTCCTCGCGCAGTTCCGTAGGGCTGTAAAGCGAGGATTATTTGGTACTATTTTCATTAATTTCTGGAACAACCACTGGTAAAAAAAATAGCTTTACCTCTGCAAATACTGCGACCACGAATATATTGATGATAAGTGAAACGAACAGTGCAATGGCTGGAAGAAAAAAAGAGAGGAGAGGTTACATGTGATGACCAGGCATGTTACTATACACAAGCAACTCCTACAGGCATAGTTGAACTGAAACAGTGTTGAAATTTATCCAGGACTGGAATTGTTTCGATTGAGAACTCGAACATGTAAACCATCTCAAAAACCAAAACCAAGGTGATCACAACAGCTAAAGAGAATCAAGAAAGAAAATTATCTTGGAGAGCTTGTGGAAATTCAAACTAAACTCGACCTGTCACCAAACTGGCTAAAGCGCAGGATAACACGAGCGACTAAGTTGAGATTGCTTTTAGTTTTGAATTTGATTAGTTTCGGTTAAGAAGATATCGCGAGTATTCAGGACCAATCACATAGCTAAGTAAAGCAGAATCGAAGAAAGCGAGGATAACTTTCAACTTGATCAATTAAAAAGTCTCCCTGACAGCGCAAAAACACATGTGACCAAGTTACACGTGGTTTTATTCCTGCGTTGATATTGTTGGTGTGGAACACGTGTATCACTATATCAACTACTCAGAAGCAAAACTAGAGCACTCTTTAACCGAGTGTCGAAAAAGCAAACCCAGAGAAAGTATAACTGCCAGTCAGTGCAAGGATTAACATCATAATAACACAATGAGAAATCAAAGTAAAAACAAGCAAACTGTTTAAAAAGCGCGGGAAAACGCGGGTGCACAAGTCACGATTGGTTATGGTCTTTCGTTTGATTGGTTGAGATGGCAGTTCTCATAAAGGATACTGACATGGTGTTATCTTTTGTGCTCGCCTTGTGCGATCAATACGATTCTCAGATAATGCCGTAAGATGTATTCGATAACTGTAAATAATGGTGGAATGATGAGTCCCTTATTCGATGGTTAAAAATATTATTAACCATCGAATAAGGTGTATTTATTACCTGATTCAATAAAATAATACAAATTAGCTTCTTTCACTGCTTTAGTATCTTTCCTGTCTACTTCCCGAGACTACAACAAAGAGAAAGAGGATAGCGTTAACAATAAGCAACATCTCAAGAATTGTTACCACACAAATACATTCACAATAAAACAAATACTTCTCAACCTGAGCCATGGAAGTCTTCTCACAGTTGTTGGGTTGGGCGAGAACCGTTTGCTTAATGTTAAACCACTTCATGTGTTGAATCAAGTTGTCAAATCAAAGGGACTGATATTAATTGGTTTTCATCAAATGAGTTGATAATGTAAATTGGGCACCGTAACGAATTTCTTCTCTCCGACATAGGGCTAACGCTCTTAAAAAGATACTGCTCAAAGGATCTTTGGCCCTCGCTGCCCTCTGTAAGGAGTTTAGAAACTCTTTACAGTTGCCAATTTGTAATATCAATACAGTTGAGAAAATCATATTATCTTGTAATACACCTCACTGTCACAACACTACAGATTCCTTTTTAAAATTAATCCCTTCGATAATTTTTTGTCAACTGGTAGGACTTCTATTGTAAAGTTAACATGTTAGTGATGACCAATCAGAGAACAGATGTAATGAAATAAAACTCTCTCAGTGCCTCTCCTGAATAACCTTCCTTTTCCACCAACATGGCACGCTGGATCATGCTCTTCTTGAATACCAGTTTACATTCCCATACTAAGCACAGATATTTTTTTCTTGTATTCATTTTAGGTCTCATATTGCTCACCTACTTTAAAACTTACTCACACTCATCACTGGTATTAAAAACTTATAAATTAAAACAGTATCATGCTCTTAGAAGTCATAATCCATAAGTATACAAACCTTAACTAGAGCTGAGTGAAGATACATATTATGAGGCATGATGACCGCTCCAACAATACCTACAGCCTTAAAGGCAATTGAAACGAAGAAAATTTTAGCAGTCAGTTTCAATCATGAAAACAGATTTCATAGAACATCACAGTCATAGTCTGTGTAACTAAAAAAATGACATAATTATATGATAAATACTTAACATCTTTATTAACTAGACAAACAAGAATTTGCCATATTTCTTAATCAGCCTATGGAATAAACTTACTGAACTAACTACTAAACCAATTGCTGTCCATCAGAAAATGCCTACCTGTAAAATACTTTTATTGTCACAATTTTCACACCAAGGTATAAAAAGACCTTCCAGTACTTTATCCTGCTTTGGGTTTACTTTTACATACTACACGGAATATAAAAAGCCATAATGTTAAGTTCTCATTTGCCAAATAATATAAGAATTTTGAACAGGAGTCTCTAGCACATGCAACCTGTTAAACACTGCTTAGGCTATTGTCACTGAAATAATCATTAGATTATATCTTCTGTCTGATGAGATTCATGAACCATTAATAACTCCATGTGACTGGCCATAGCTGTGCAAAATTTTGAGGATTTTGAGTGGTAGTCAAGTAAAGCAACGATCCTTGCTGGTGAGCCACAATTGCAGAAAAGAAACCAGAAAAAATCTTCTTCTTTAAGTTGCAACTCAATTGCGAGGATCATTGATTTATTTAATTTTCACCTGTAGGTCAAATGAAATTCAGTTATTGCAAAATTATGATCAGATTTCTCTAAGGGAAAGAAGAACCCTCAAAAGTGTACCCACTCCCAGCTTGTGGCTTGGTAGCTCAGCTGGGAGGCAAGCCTTCAAATCCTGTCATAGCCCGAATTTTTTTTTAAGTGCTAAGTTGGTTTACTTTGGTGCATCATGTTAGTCTGGCAAGTTGGCCCTATGCATGCATTATTAATGTACTGAAACATTTTGTTTGAAGATTACAAATTAAAGTGAGTCACCACTTACACAATTGCAATGTTCAAGCAGAGTTGCACTTTTAACAAAGCTCGATCTTGTAACTGTAAATCATACAGGGAAACATCTTTTGATACCCAATATTAACCCAGTAAAACCCTGGCCTGAATGCTGAAATGAATTTGGGTGGAAGAAATACATGTGCCTTACCTCATAGCCAAATGACACAGCCATAACAGTTATCAAAAATCCAAAGAATGCCTCCAGCTTTCTTAGACCTAGAATAAAAATAATTCAAAATCAAATTATCATCTCCTGCCTGTTCCTTATGGTGTGATCTCCAATTGTTCCAATGGACCTGCAAGTTTATCTTTTTTAAGGAACAGAGGTATAACCAACATCTTTTGTTTTCTTTCAAAACTAGTTTAATGGTATGTCGAGTATTACTTATATGAAGAAGGGCACTTCATATACTCCTGTACTGATTATGTTGTAGTTGAAGCTATAAATAAAAAAAAGGAGGCAATAGAAACAAGTTTACCTTGTATCCCAATGATTT